ATTTTTGGTGAATATTTTTGTCATTTTTGGTAAAAAGTGATATTTTCCACATCTTGTTGAAAACTGCAAGTCTGATTGTTTTGATACTATACATATTGTTTATTTTTTAATGATACTTTCTGTTATTTAATTGAAATGTGCATTGCTAACAGCGGAGCTATCTCAGCCGACAGGCTGCTTGTTCATTTGTTCATTTCATTCATGTTCTCAAGTTCGGTCATACCTAATGTCAAACACGAATATTTTTTTTTTAACCAAAACCATAACGAAAGCTAAATGGTTGGGGTCATAGACTCGTACATTTACATAAAGTAGCGTCAAAGATTGAAATTTATGTTAACAATTGTTTGTATATTTTCCTTCAGATTTCACCAGCAAACGTAAACTACCAAGAAGCACAGAGTCATGTGAACACCGCTGCCGCTGGATTGAACGTTGCGGCGAGTCAATTGATTGCAGCCTCCAGGGGTACACATGGGCAGCTTGCTGACTCCGCAGGCAAATTTACAGTTGATTTCCAGACCCTGCTGGATGCTGGTCTTAATGTTGCTGGATCTACTCCAGTAAGTAGTCAGTCTTTTAAAATAAGTAGTGAAAACAAGAATTTATGTTACTTATTTGTCACAGAATTGAATATTTAAATTTCAGGAAATTTTTCTTCAAATCTAAAATTTTTTTTTTTTTAATTTGATTGAATTTTGATGAAGAATTTCATTTTTGTTTTTTAATTATTTCTTTATGAGAACAGAAGGTTAACACATTTAAAATCAATATTTTGTAATGTTTCGAAGAAATTGCTGAAAAAATATAATCTTTCCATGTTGGTTTTTTTGTCTATTTACCCTGTACTTTCCAAATAACAGTAACTCGTTTTTTAAGTATAAACTATGATTTATGCGTCTTCTGAATCATAAATTACTTTTGATGTATTCTGGATCTTTTAAATATGACTTATTCTGACTATAGAAATTCCTCTGCAATTTACGTAATCACATGTGCTAGTACCGTAAAATCTGTATTAGAAGCCACACCCCTAATAGAAGTCGCACCCATTCTTTTTGAATAATTGAGAACCAAAAATTCATCATTACTATATGCTCTATTAGAAGCCGCATTCCCTCTGTTGCATTGTGTCATTTTAATAGAAGCCACAGCCTCTCTAATACAGATTGTACAGTAATAGAGCAAATACGGTATTTTTTAGTTGTAAACAATCATTTTTTTATGTATCCCCCCACCCAATGTTGTTCAGCCCTTATATTATACTGTTTATAATTTCCAGAATCAAGAAGGACAAAGCAAGATGGTTG